CTGTTTTTGTATTATTGATACAAGATTTTATGTATTGGGAAAAAATATTAACTGCCTCATACGTAGTATGTGTTTTTTCATGAGTGAATATTGTTTAGTTTTTATAAATTACTCCGCTCGTACCGTAGCCTCTTAGGCTTTGTTTGTGGAATGGAGGAATGAACTAGGTTATAAATAATGTGCCACGGCCACCGACCCTAACATAATTGGGATCAAGGTGATGATGATGATGGCGGTGATACTTTTTGATATATTTGATTTGGAAAAAGAAAAAAGAATGCCAATATTCTTCTTGTGGAGTTTAGAAATGACAAAATTGTTGGGTTGTGGAGCCTGATGTAGTATTTGGTGTATTGCTCTCTTTCACGCAGTTCAACCCAGATTTTAGGCTGTACCTTTAACATTCTCCCTGCAACTATTTGTACTCACGACGTACTCTGAATTCATCAATATGTATAGCCCTATACTGTCCACTTGGTGTTCCCACGAAAATCTCGAGAGCTCTTATTCATCTTCATTCGTTTTCTGCAAATTCTTCCATGATCTTAACAAAAAAAGGACCATTCTTGCGTAGGTGAAGAACAACGGCACTGTTGCTTGATCACAATTCTGCTAAGCTCAAAGGTAGGCATAGTAGATGGAGTCTTTATATATTTAAAGTGACTTTTAGCATATCCTAACCGAAGAATTTCATAACTCATGTATATTATTATGTGTACATCTTTTCTCTCCCAGGATGCAGAATGCTTGAAATGCGGGTATGTGCACCAGACATTGCTGGATGGTTTAGCAAAGGACAGTTCAAGTTCAACATCCTTCCTCTTCTTCTAAGGTTCCAACATTATCACTGTCAAAAATATGGCTTCCATTTACATTCTCTCCATCTGAATAAGATAGAATCAATCTACACTGGGTTTTCTCTCATCTAGATAATGAATCGAGTCGATTGAGTGTGTGTACAAATAACAAATGAAATCCAAAACGCTTCTCCCTTTCTCGCTGAGAGTTTTCAACATCCTTATTACAAAAATGCTGCGGATGACAATCACAAATGATTTGTACATATCGTTTGTAAACACAGATGATTATCGTCTGCGAATGTGTAAATCATTTGTGATTGTCATCCGCGGGGGCACTCGTGGTGGGTTAGTATAGTAGTATGAAACATGCTTCATTCTTTAGACTAGTATTCCCTCCGTCCTAGTATATTTGTTTTTTGAAGTCAAACAAGATAATTTTTGAGCTTCAATTAAATAAAAATCGTAATGTATATTTGTATAAAAATAATTTTATTAGATTTATCTTGTTGAAAACTTTTAAAATTTTATTTCATTATACTACGGAGTAATATGCAATACAAATTGAGAGTAATTGAAGCTCAAAGTTTGTCCAATTTAAGTGCGTGTACACATGATAATCATGCCTAAAAAAGGGAAAGAAAAGAGGATTTGGATTGGGGAAATCAAACAATGTCCTACCTTTTAAAAAACAAAAAATTACTACGTGGGTTTTCTTGAAATAATTCGCGAGTCTTTGGATTTTCAAGAAGATATTAGTGGCCCTTACAAGTCTTGTAAAGACGGGGAGAGGATATCCTGCTTACTATTTTGCTAATGATCCTCTAAAAATGTATTTTTCTTATTTTTTGTTTAATAGTTTGTGTTAATAATGCTCGGGGCTTTCACTTTTTAATTTCTTATTTCTTTATTTTTCTTTTTCATAAAGTTTTTTTTCAATTCCTTATGTAAGTGTTTTTTTAATTCAAAATTGTTTGTCTTATATAAAAAATAAATGCAATTAAAATGACTATAGTAGAACATAATTAGAAAATTATAATTATTAAGAGCATCTCCAAGCATGCCAAAATGGCTTGCTATATGCTATAATTTGACAAGCCAAGCAAAGTTTCATGCTCCAAGGGCTTGCCAATTTTTGACAAGCTTGCTAGAAAATGAAAATGACTTGCTATTAATAACAATCTTGGTAAGATATAGCAAACCAAAAAGAAGAAGAAAAATGCTGATTGGGTTAGAGCATCTCCAATCATTTCATTTTGACTTGCTAAAAGTTATAGTATAGCAAACCACCCCCTTTTTCTTTTCACCAAGGGGTGTGCTATATTTTAACATGCTTGTCAAAAATTAAGTTTGGCTTGCTAAATATACCAAGCCAATCAAATTATAGCAAGCCCATCCTCCACTTTGAAATTAAGCATCTCCGTTGAAGTTTGCACCATAGAACATCTACGTTCCTCCTTCAATCTTTGTCCTCTTAAACTTAAAATATAGCAAGTTATGATTGGAGAATAGGACAAAATATAATTTTCTATATTACTATTCACTTGTTAAAATACAACAATAGAAAGCTAATATGACAAATATGGTTGGAGATGCTCTTAGCAAGCCAAAAACATTATATTACATATTACAAAAAAGTACGAGTATTATTTTATTTTAAACTATTATTTTTAAATTGCATACGTATAGAGTATTATTTACTCCCTCCGTCCCCTATAGATCTTCTCAATAGCCCTTTTTCTTTGTCCACAAGGATCTTCTCATTTCATTTTTTAACAATTAAAATACCATAACTACCCCCACTTACTTTATTTATTACACCTCACTCACCTTATTTAATACACTCCACCCATATTTCATTAAGGGTATTATGGTAAACTTTCACCTTTTTTCAACTCTCCTTAAAAACCATCAAAAGTCAAAATGAGAACATCTTAGGGGGACGGAAGGAGTAATTTTTATAACATAAAATAATAAATTTTAAAAATTATTATAAATAGTGTACTATAATATAAAAACCAATATAATATACAACTAATGTTTGCTAAATTATAGCAAGAGAAGGTTGTTGATGACAATGCAAAATGACTTGCTATACCACTTTTCACATGCTAAAAAATGACTTTAGTAAGTGTGGTTGGAGATGCTCTAACGGTCACTTGTATATGCTAATATTTTCATGTAATGTAAAAAGTAATTAATGTGCCTTTATAACGAGGATCACAGTAATTACCAGCAGTTACAAGTCTGCACAAACGCACCGACAAAAAAGGGCAAATCTGTCAATTCGTATAGAAAGACAGAAGTACAGTACTAGGATTACGTGTGGGTAGGCTGCCCGTCCTTTTCCGTTGCATTGTCGAATGAAGCACTGCATTGCCCTTCACGCGCCGCCTCGTGCACTTCGATAGTGAGTGAAGCCTACTGTTTGCCATATGGTATTTGACATCTACTCCGTATGTAAGGGTTAATCCTGTGGTTTACAAAAACGGCGTCAAAACCCCCACTGTTTTCAAAAGTTATTTGTAAAGTCCCTGTGGTTTCTAAATAGAGCACACATGCCCCCTTACCTATTTTTAAAGCAAAAATGACATTTATACCCTTTGTTTTCCCTGATCTTGAATTTTTCCGATTTTAATTTCCTTTATTATACGAATATATAAAATAAAATATATGCTTCTCATCTCAAATTAGAATTTTTCATAATGTACTTTTGAAAACAAAATACTCCGTATTTTTTGGAGAATGTTACAAAAAAATATGAAGACCTATTTTTTATTCATATTTAACTGTTCTTCATATTTCATTTTTAAATTAAGGAGTTAAAGAAAAAGACTATTTTTTATATTTTTATTTCTTTTCATTACTTTTTTTAACTGTTATTACTTTTTACTTTGTACATAATATTTTATTTTTCATTTTTTTGTAACATTCTCCAAAAAATATTTTGTTTTCAAAAGTACATTATGAAAAATTCTAATTTGAGATGGGAAGCATATATTTTATTTTATATATTTGTATAATAAAGGAAATTAAAAACGGAAAAATTCAAGATTGGGGAANACCTATTTTTTATTCATATTTAACTGTTCTTCATATTTCATTTTTAAATTAAGGAGTTAAAGAAAAAGACTATTTTTTATATTTTTATTTCTTTTCATTACTTTTTTTAACTGTTATTACTTTTTACTTTGTACATAATATTTTATTTTTCATTTTTTTGTAACATTCTCCAAAAAATATTTTGTTTTCAAAAGTACATTATGAAAAATTCTAATTTGAGATGGGAAGCATATATTTTATTTTATATATTTGTATAATAAAGGAAATTAAAAACGGAAAAATTCAAGATTGGGGAAAACAAAGGGCATAAATGTCATTTTTGCTTTAAAAATAGGTAAGGGGGGCATGTATGCTCTATTTAAAACCACAGGGACTTTACAAATAACTTTTGAAAACAGAGGGGGTTTTGACGCCCTTTTTGTAAACCACAGGGGGTGCCCATGCTATTAACCCCCGTATATAATTATACTCTCTCCCTTTTAAAATGTTTTATACTTTATAGAAAACCGAAACAAAATATTTTCACTTCATTTTATTTGAAAATCGTATAGAAAAAAATAAAATAAAATTTACATATTAAAAATTATGTCAAAAGTTTCACAAAATAAGAGATTATATAAATATTTTATTTGATCAAATAATAAATCAAAACGCATAAGAATACAAAAGTTTTTCTGATTTTTGAATAGTGAAAATTGTAATTTTTTTTAGACAGATGGAAATTCTTTTTTTCAAAAAAAGTTAAAAAATAAAAAAAAAGAGTGTTTATAGTAAAAAGAAAAAGACAGTTATTTTCGGATGGATATTAAATGAAAGAAGAAAATTTATTTTGAAATAGATAAAGAATGTGATTTAAAAAATGTCTTCGCTTTACATAAATTTTAACCATAAATTTTTAAAATTTTTCGCAAACTCTTAAAAATCTAAGTTGAATACTCTCTCTTTCTCCAAATAAATTATAGTTATACAGTTATTATTACGATCTTTCGATAATTTTTATTTGTTTTTATATTTTCATTTATCATTTGATAAAAGAAAATATGTGTATTATCTCTTTTTTTATAAAACTCTTGATGTAGTTTTTAATATATAAATTTTATTTTTTAATTTGTAAATAAAACAAATTTTAAAAAAATGGTATTTTACACATTGATCCAAGAGCATACTTCATCTGAGATAAAAAGAGTACTTTTTACCGGATGAAGGTGGTACTTTGTAAAAATTACGCAGTATTGATTAATCTCAAAAAAATCCGTTTAAGCAACCATGACCTATTAACCAACAAAATCCATTCCAGCAACCATGACCAATTAACCAACAAAGTAGACTTTTTTTCTCTCTAAAGAACCCTTTTGTATTTTTTTTAAAGAGCTGTTGGGATAAATTTTGTAGGTGATCTTATCCAAATTCTTTTAGTCTTGTTTTAAAATAAATTTTATAGGTAGTTTTTCTTTTGAATTATTTTAGTTCTACTCAAAGTTTTGAGAGAGGAAATTGTAGTTGTTACCGCCAATTTCTCAAAAATATGGTTGTATTGTAAAGTTTATACGTTGATCAAAAATACAAGATTGCATTCATCAACAGTTTCTGTCGCAGATAGGGACACACAAGCTTTTTCTTAATGGATAATCAAAGTCAAAGATGGAAAAGCATGAACAAGTGATTGATAGAGTTGCTGATGTTGAAATCTCGTCCGAATTCTTGATTCTTGACACAAGTTATCCTCTCAAGAGTATAGTGGCTTTCACTTATCTGATTCTATTGGAAAGCACAAAAAATTATTTTTTTAGGATAGAGAACTATTCGTACCCACGTTCGAAGTTGTTGAATGGTAAATTATTAATTTCTCCGGCATATCCCTTAGGATAGATTCAGATCTACTTTTGAATGATGTAATTTTGAGTTTTATTTCTCTATTAATTTATAAATAAAAGAATTTTAAAAGAGGGAAAACTTATCGAAAATAATCTGAACTTTACCTAATCTTTTAAAAATAATCTTACTTTTCACTGTGGTGCATAATAATTTAAACTCTACTGAAATTAACGAGTTTTGGGTCGCCGTTAAGTTGCTAATGGTAGATTAACGGAAATGCATGTTTTGCGCAACAAAATGAAAGTTGCGATTATTTTTGATGAATTTTTGTTTTAATTTTTTTTTTAATTTTTTATTTAAAATTTTAAAATTACTTTCTACCTGCCTCCATTTCTTTTTTTAAGATTAGTCTTACCTCAGAAAAATTAAAAATAGATATAAAAAATAACGAAAATGAGAAAAATAACTAAAACCAAACAAAATTAATAAAATAAATAAAGTAATCAATAGGAATTAGACTAAAACTAGCAAGAAAAGCATAAATATAAATGGAGTGGTGAGTTTTAACATTTTACGCAATATTCAGAACACTAATGTACTACTTATTTTTTGAAAGAACATGCTCGCTGATAGAGGTGAAATTATTTGAGATAATTTTTTCTTACAAAAAGAAGTGATACACTAATACTTTGTATAGTGCCTAAAATATTAAAACCCACCACCCTGTATACTTTTATTTTATTTCTTACCAATTTTAAGTGAGTTTCTACTGATTACCTTATTTATTTTATTAATTTTGTATCATTTTAGTTACTTTTCTCATTTTCTTTATTTTTTGTATCTATTATTTTTATTTTTTAAAGTAAGACTAATCTTTAAAAAAGAAAAAAGAAATGATGGATGTAGAAAATAATTTTAAAAATTTAAATGAAAATTTCAAAAAAAAAAATTAAAAAAAATTCATCAAAAATAATACTCCCTCCGTCCCACGAAAAAAGTTCCCATTTTGAATAGTATTTAGTCAAATATTTAAACGCTTTGACTACAAATTGTGAGAAAGGTATATTGAATTATGAAATAAATTTTATATAATTGGATTCATCTTAGGATCTAGTTTTGATATCTCATCATTTTTTAGCATTTCTTTATTTAGATTATATTTAATTTAGGGTCAAAATGTGCAACAGTTTGATCAATTTATGGTCAAGATGAGAACTTTTTTGTGGGACGGATGGAGTATCAAGTTTGATTTTGTTGCGCAAAACAGACCATTTTCGTTAACCCACCGTTAGCAACTTAACAAAGATGCAAAACTCACAGATATCAATAAAGTTGAGATTATTATGCATCACATTTATTATTTTTGAAAGATCGAATAAAATTGAAATTATTCTAGATAATTTTTATTTAAAAAAAATGATATTTTACCTGTTTTCAAAAAGTTGTAAACAATTTAGGATGAATGGAGTAGTTAACAATAGGATTAAGCTATGTGTACACCAATATTTATACCCGAATTTGTACCCCGCAGGTTTGCACTAATATTTTGTGTTGGTGTAAAACTTATTTTTGTTAACGCACCAACATTTGTGCCCGTGTAAATTTTTGTTAACGCACCAACACTTGTGCCAGTGTAAACTATCAAAATATTTATGTAAAACTGTGGTGTACAAGTAGGGTATATTTTTTGGTGTAAATGTAGCATGGTCCTTAACAATAATACCGTAGTGCTTGAAAAGATCTCCGGAATTATAAACATTTGGGACGGTCCAAAATACATACGGAGTACACATGACTAGTGACAATAACGCTACACATTTACAGATGTCTTCAACCGTATAGTCATGCATTGTTTGTGAGTCTTTATTATTGATGCTTCTACAATCTACATTAATTACATCACATTTCCAAGATAATATCTTTAAATTATTTGTCAAATTTCGAAAGAAGTCCAAAATATTATTTTTTTAAATTTTTTTATTTACAAATTAGCAGATAAATAAAAAATAAAAATTACACCGTTTAAAAGTACATCAAAAGTTTTACAAAAAAAGATGTGACGAGAATATTTTGTTTTATCAAAAGCAAATAAACAAAAATTATCGAGAGAACAAAATAGTAAGTGCATTTTCTTTTGGACGGGGATAATTCTTTTTTGTTGGGTTTTCTTTCTTTTTGTCTGTTTAGGATCATAATTGTGAAATTTGTGATCACTAATTTACGATATTATTACCAAAATCTAAACAAAAAAAATCATGGGCTTGTAGTCTTGTGGTATGACATCTTACTTTTGGCACTTACTCCGTATTCTATATATACAAGGAACTTGGAGTTTGTTCATAACTTCCACTAATTTATTATACTCCTAAATATATCCTAATTAATTAAGACAGTTGACTTTAAGTTAATTAAGACAAGTGTTCAAAAATATAAAATGTGAGTGACTAAAATTTATTTAGAATAAAGATGAAAAATGTGGACCACATATAACGTGAGTGACTAAAATTTATTTATAATAAAGAGGAAAAATGTGGTTCACATATTCTATTATATTATTAGGAAAGTAAAGATTTGTATAATTTTTTGAGACAACAAAAAAGGAAAGTATTAATTATTTGGGAATTTTCTCCTTTTAATTTCTCTTAGCTTCTCTTAGCTTGTACATCGTATATTGACATTTTATAATATTTTTGAAATTTAGTATTATATATTAGCATAAGTTTTCTATGGAGTTTCAATTGAAAATAACACTTATATAAATGTAATGGTGTTTTCATTAATTTTAGTTCTTATTGTTTCTAAGAATTATAACTAATACATTTATTTAAAAAATATTACCTCCTCTCTTAATTTTGTCTAGTTTTGATTTTTTTTTGCAGTTAAAATCAACAAATTTTAAGCATTAATTAAATAAAATGAATATTAGATATTTATACAAAAATAGTTTTATTAGACTTGATGTGTAAAATATTTTTAAAATATTATTTTATCTAACTAATATATAGAGTTTTACACTCTCTTTGTACCAAAATAATACTCCGTACAATACTTCTCATTTCTTTTTACTTTCCAAAAAAGAATCATCTTTTTTGTTTCGTAAAACTTTCGATGATTCACAACCTTTATCTCTCTACATTAGTTCCAAGAACATAATTTTACTTTTCTTAACTTGCATGTCAAATAAAATAATGATTCTTTTTTAAATGGAGGAATTATTAATTTCATTTATTTATATTCTCTCCCTCCCAATAATAGTTACACTCTTCATTATTGAAAGTTTTAAAAAAAACTTTAAGTTATGTGTGTGTTTGATTAAATAATTGATATGTTTTGAATAGTTATTAATTGTAAGTTTTATTTTTATTTTATCATACCAATTTTTAAATAAAATAATTTGAAAAAAATTTAAATTTTCATTTTAGTGTAAAATGTACTCCTTTAAGGGAGTAATTCAAAAAATGAATTTGAGTGATTGTAGATTAACCTAATCTAATCATGCTTTAAAAAAAAAGATTAATCTACGGAGTATTAATTTTTAATAAAATCACTTTTTTTGGTGCATAGATACACACCACTCCACCGTATGTGGCAAAGGAAACTGCTCTGTCCGTACTTTCCAATGTTACGCCGGACAGCGACGTCATCCCCACCGACATTTTACACCCCCGGCGCTCTCCAACAACCACCACCTTCGTCATATACACGCTTCCACCACCACCTTCTAATTGCAGAGAGAAATTAAAGACCCAATTTCTAGAGAGAGAGAGAAGAGAGAGAGAGAGAGCGGCCATGGATTTCTCCAAGCAGCTCTGCTTCTTCTCCATCGCCGCCGCCGTTTTCTTGATTCTCCGGGATGGAACTGCCGCCGCCGTTTCTTCCCCGGGAAAGAAACACTCTGCTTCTGCTTCCCAGATCAATTCGAACTCCGTCCTTGTCGCCCTTCTCGATTCCCATTACACCGAGCTCTCCGAGCTCGTCGAGAAGGCCCTCCTCCTCCACGCCCTCGAAGACGCCGTTTCTCTCCACGACGTCACCGTTTTCGCCCCCAGTAACGAGGCTTTGGAAAGGGGTTTGGACCCGGATTTCAAACGGTTCTTGCTCGAACCCGGAAATCTCGGGTCTTTACAGTGTCTCCTCCTCTTCCACATCGTGCCCACTCGTCTGGGATCCATCAGAAATTGGCCCGCCGGAGGTGTCCGCACCCTTTGCGGCGGGGAGAATCTTGTTTTGTCTCCGGGGGAGATTCTCAGGCCCGGCGATATCATCCGGCCGGACGGTGTGATTCACGGGATAGGACGCGTGCTGATTCCCAAGTCCGTTCAGCGTGATTTCAACGCTCGCCGGAGTCTGAGGGTCATCTCCGCCGTTCTCCCCACCGGAGCTCCGGAGGTGGACCCCAGGACTCACCGCTTGAAGAAGCCCGAGATTCGGGCCCAACCCGGCGCGCCTCCGGCTTTACCCATTTACGAGGCCATGGCTCCGGGCCCATCTCTGGCGCCGGCGCCCGCCCCGGGACCAGGAACCCGCCGCCGGCACTTCGACGGGGAAAGTCAAGTCAAGGATTTCATCCAGACGCTCCTGCATTACGGCGGGTACAACGAATTGGCCGACATTCTGGTCAATTTGACGTCTCTGGCCACGGAAATGGGGAGATTAGTGTCCGAAGGGTACGTTTTGACGGTGCTGGCGCCGAACGACGAGGCCATGGCGAAGCTCACCGCCGACCAGCTGAGCGAGCCGGGGTCGCCGGAGCAGATAATGTATTATCACATCTTGCCGGAGTACCAGACGGAGGAGAGCATGTACAATGCGGTGAGGAGGTTTACGAAGGTCAGATACGACACGCTGAGATTGCCTCACGCCGTGGCGGCGGCGGAGGCCGACGGGTCCGTGAAATTCGGCGCCGGCGACGGGTCGGCTTATTTGGTGGAGCCGGACATATATACCGACGGGAGGATTTCCGTTCAGGGGATTGACGGGGTTCTGTTTCCGGAGGAGGAGGAGATTAAGAAGGCTGGAACTTCCAAATCTGCCCCTGTCGTTAATAACAAGGTTGTTCCAAAGCAAAGAAGAGGTATGTTTGGTTTTAAACTAATTATGCTAATCTTTTTTGGAGTGTCATTAGTTGTTTTAATCATGATTTGTGTGCCTTTAATCATATCCTGATTAGAGATTGCCTAATCATAGCAGCCTTAAGAGCTTAGATTGATGGTTTTGATTTCCTGAAGTTTTTTTAGTAAAAAATATAGGGGATATGTAAAAATATATTAGAAATTCTATAAAATAATGAACGATTTTACTATTCTATTTCATTAAATAATCAATTAAAATACAAACAAAATATATAATTTAATTCTAGAATAGTAAAGATAACTTTTTTGGACAAAAAGAGTAACTAAATGCATTTTTAGACAATTTATGTTTTGTCTGAGACAACACGAGAGCATCATTATTCATTCTCCTCATAGTTTTCATTTTTATTCTTTTTACCCTACTCTAATAATTCTTTTTCTGTTTATCTTTTTTCAAAATATTTGTTTTATTTTCAACTAATTAAAATTAATGCATCATTTTACACCCAATAAAACGATTCTCCCTCGGGTACACAGAATTCAAATTATGAAATTGGAATTGTAAACAACAATTCCAATTTTGTTGTTTGGTAGCACAAGAATATGTGGATTTGAAATTGGTAGTACCAAAAATGTACTATTAAAATTGGAGAATTCAAATCCATCCAAACTAATTCTATAGAATTTCAACACCCAATTCAATTCTAATTTTATCAATTCTGTGTACCAAACGACCCTGGAGTAATATTCAATTTCATTTCCATGACAACGAAAACTCTGTATTATTTTATGTAAAAAATTGAATAAACTATTTGAGATGTATAAAATACTGATTAATTTACTTCTACTTCCACGACCAGGTTGAGGTGTACTAATGAATAAATGATTGAGCTTTCAGGAAAAACCAATTCTACCCATCATATATCTATTTTTTTAACAAATTAATTAATCCTTTCACATTTAATTTTTTTCAGTCCATCTTTTTTTATTTCTTGTAAACAAATTCTAACAACTCATATTTTACTTTTTAACAATTTTTTTTAAAAAACTACGGAGTATGTAAATAAATTTGGCAGGGTATCATAAATTAGGGGTGGATGAACAAGTTGTCGGTGTGTACATTTTTTTTTAAAGTAAATATTTTTTTTCTTTAATGTGTGTGGTTTGAGTGGGTGGGTGGGGGGCCTTTTAGCAGTGGCATTAAACATGAAGGGCCACATTTGTGGGGCTTTTATATGAATTATGTTATTATTACTTCCACTATCAATATTTGTATTCCAACAAAATATCAAGTTTTTTCAATTCATTTCATTTACATATTAGTATAGAAATAAAAAAATAAAATTTACATATCAAAAAACTTCATGAAAAGTTCTTTGAAATAAGAGGTGTCAAAGAATATTTTATTTTATCAAATAACCAATGGAAACGTAGAAATAAACAAAAATTCCCGCGATTGCTGAAAAAGAGAGTGTGGCAAATATTTTGGGACGGAGGGAGTATATATTAATGAAAAATGAAAAAACAAGAAAAAAGATTCCAGCAAAGCCCAGTCTGTGGACTTGTTAGGCACCATATCTTTAGTTTGACTTCATTTTTATTTTGACTCGACCCAATCATGATTAAAACAATTTAACTACTCGTATATGATTGTGATTTATTGGAGGGGAGAAAAAAAATTAAAACAACATGAATGGCACAATATTTTGTTAAAGAAAATAAAGTCTTGTGCTAAGGTCTTTGTTTGACTTTCACAGAATAAGATAACTGTGGTTGAATTTGTTAAGAAAAAAAAAGATTTTTTTTTTGATTTTTTTCGGAATGGGTAATAAAGAAAAGATTTTTTTTTTTTTACAGTTAGTGTTTATTTTATCAGTTTCATATTATTTTCCAAACATAATATAAATGATTGATTCCTAAGTCCTAACTTCTACCTTTCTATTGAGTCCCTCCTTTTTATTCCTTTCTCAAGATCTGTTACTCCATCTTCACCTTTTCCCATACTGAGATCATTAGATGTGTATCCAGTCTGATTGTTGACTATTCTACCCTTTCCAGCTTTTTGGTGCTGGTGCCAACTTGTTAAGTTGGACTTTACTTTTTTTGTGTTACCAAACACAGCCTTACTTTATTGTTTTTGTTGAATTTATGATGGAAAAGTGATCAAGAAATTATTGTTTCATGGTTTAAAAAAAAATTACTCTTTTTTAACTATACTTTTATGTCATTCATTTTACTTAGTTCTTTCCAAATGGGTTCTTTCTTGATTTAAAGGATTTGAGAAAATTAATCTCATGATACAGATTCTAGCTTCTTATACAGTCAAAAGTTTCTGGCCATTGGCTAACATCTTTGTCTTCTTCCTGTTTGTTACCAGGGAAGTTAATGGAAGCAGCTTGCACCATGTTTGGGTCTCTTGGTTTCACAGGGTGTTCTTGAAGTTCTACACTGGAAAAAAACTACACAATGATAGGAGCAAATGCAATCTGCAGTGGTGAGTTTTGTTTTTATGAATATAATAAAACATTGGGTCATCCAAAAATTCAATTCAATTCAACAAAGCTTAGAAATCAGAATCCAAGAATAACAGCAAACCCAGTAAAATTTCACAAAAGTAAGGTCCGGGGATTGTTTCCAAAAGATCTGTGGCTTAAACACATACAAAGTTTTTTTTAATAAAGAGAAATGCTTCATTAAAAACAAAACTTTTGTTGAACAAAACATAGACAAAGTAAACAAAGTAGAAACCAGAATAATATCTGCAAGTAAATTAAATCTGCAGGTTTGGGACAACCATGTTGATGGTCTTTTAAAGGGAAGCAAATTGTGATCTTTTGTTGGACAAAAGAAAAATGCAAAAGGGAATCCAATGAATGTTACTCTCTTCTGTCTTATTAGTTGTTATCATCACCACAATTGTAATTACACTTCATTTTTTCTCCATTTCTATTATATAGCTCATCTTGGCTTACATTTTGGTGTGCAAAAAAAAAAGAAAAAAAAAAGAAACACAGACATATTCCTTTCTTGTTTAAACAAATCATATGGGCAGTGGGCCCTGGTGTGCATTATGTTTTTGTTGGCCACTATATAAAATTGTGCATTCTCAGCTTGTGAATGCAAATGGTTGTCCAACTTCTTTGGCATTACATTCTTTCTTTATATATACTTTACAAACACAAGTTTGCCTGTCTTTTAGTGTACAAACAGAATCATGTAGTACCAATATGCAAATTATGCACATGCCCAACCTTCCAAAAGAAATAAGTAAATAAATAAATGAAGATATATTTGCTTTTAACACCCTCCTTTTGTATGATATTCTTGCTATTCCTCATACATCTTCATCTTCATTGTCATTGTCCCAAGAAGTGGCCTTTTGGTCTTTTCCCCTAAAAGAAAATCCCTTCGTCAATCCTAATGTTTGTTTGGTATGGGGAATTCCAATCCAAGTAGAGATTTTGCATCAGCTACTTGTGTTTGTTTTCAGAATTGAGAGCTATGGTGATGTTTATCAACCTGCTAAACAAGATTATCTTCGGTTCAGAATCACGAGGAAGAAGATGAAAAGCAGAAACTGTAAATAAAAGAAACCAAATGACAGATTTGCTTACCTAAATTTATTGTTCCTTTTTGCATCATTGACACAAACTCGCTGTAATCGATGCGACCATCCTGTAAGGTAGGAAGATTAGCATGAACATTGCCACTGTTTATTTTTACAAGTAATGAGGAAAAAAAACTTACATTGTCTTGATCAGCTTCCTGAATCATTTCTTCCAAATGGGGATTTTTTATGCCAAAATCATCGCACGCCTTCTGGAGTTCATCTGGAGTTATATACCCACTTCCATCTTTGTCAAAATAAGAAAATGCAGCAAACAAATGGTCTTCTTTAGTGATTTTACTAAGCTGCAGCATTGCAGCTATGAACTCTCCATAGTCAATGGTGCCACTGTTGTCCACATCTGCCTGGTTTTTCATTATAAAAAATGGAATTATAAGTCTCTGTATGGCGCACACGCAACAAAAAGAAGATGAAAAAAATGTACTTACTGCCTTCATCAGATCGCGTATCTCAGACTCATTAAGATCTGCACCGAATCTTTTTAACCCAACCTTAAGTTCTTCAAAGGTGATTTGCCCACTACCGTCTATGTCTATCATTTTGAACATTTCTCTTAGTCCTGCAATTTCCTCCTCAGAAAGTCTCTCTGCAATGACCTGGAAACCCGTTTGGCGGGGGGAAAAAGTACAACAAACAAACCCATTAAGATCCCGTGAGGAGGGTGTGTAGAGAGGTTTGTTTCCAAGAAACCTCTACAATAGCATTTTACAGAGTAGTATTTGAAGAAAAAAGTTTGTACCCTGAGAGCCATTTTCTTGAGCTTGTGCATTGCAGAAAACTGCGTTAAACGAGTTAAAACTGCCGAATCTAGAGGCTTATCAGGAGCTACCCCATCAATCCGCACCCAAGGATGGCCTGCAAATTTTTTTGTTCCCCAAGTACAGATATAATTAAACCAGCAATATATAAAAATTGTTGATGGTTCAAGCAGTTCGCCATTTCTGAGTATAATAAAGATCATAGGAACTCACACAGAACTTCATGAGCAGTTAGCCGTTTTTTGGGGTCTCTTACGAGCATCTTTCTCACTAGATCTTTAGCACTGTCTGAGGTGTGAGGCCATGGCTCTGACTTGAAATCAATATCAGCATTCAAAACCTCATCAAAGATTTCTTGTTCAGTTTCTGTGTCAAGATACAAACACAAGACAACATTTATGTATGATCCATGCATCTCAACAACAACAACAAACCCAGCAAAGTCATACAAAACACACCAAATTTGCATCATATATACATTTGATTTAGTTACAATCTGTCCATGACAAAACACAGTAAACAGATATAGGTATAGACTTTACCTCCCCAGAAAGGAGGAACACCACTGAGAAGAATGTAGATGATCACGCCTGCGCTCCAAATATCAGCCTCTTGACCATAACTCTTGAGCAAGACTTCTGGTGCAACATAATAAGGACTTCCAACAACATCATTGAAAATGTCCCCTATAAGAAATTTATGATGTTATAAAGTTTTTGAAACGATCAAATCCTGAAATGAAAGCCTGCAAAAGATTCTAGCCAACAGCAAAAGCACCTGGTTTAAAGAACGTCGACAATCCAAAATCAATGGTTTTGAGCGGCGAATCCTCCTCCTCATTAACAAAGAGAAAGTTCTCTGGCTTAAGGTCGCGATGCATGACACCAAGCGAATGGCATGCCTCCACGACACCAACTATAGTCTTGGCTAGCCCAGCAGCCTGACGCTCAGAGTAATGACCTCTCTTGACAATCCTATCGAAGAGCTCACCACCAGCGCATAGTTCCATCACAACATGAACTGCCACCGCATCCTCATAAGACCCTTTGATGGAAACAACATTTGGGTGCCCAGCCAAGTGATGCATGATTTCAATCTCTCTCCTGACATCGTCCACATCTTCCTTTGTCAAGAGCTTCCTTTTTGCTATGGATTTACAGGCATATCTTTGTCCGGTTGCCTTCTCTGTGCAAAGAAAAGTGGTGCCGAATTGGCCGTGCCCAAGTTTCTCTTCCAAACTGAAAAAGTCCTTCAGGTTACCAGTTTTGGTCTTTAGGACCGAATCGACTTGGAGACCGGCACTCAGCATTCTCTTGGTATTGAGCGGTTTTCGCGGCTTCGGTTTCTCCTTTTCAGGATTTACACTTAATTTCTCGGCTTCATTTTTCACTTCCTTCTCAGCCCTAATCTGTTCTTTCCCTTTGGATTTCTGCTGATTATCGCCTCTCTCTATCTGCTCAACCTCTGGAGGTTTGGTCTGAACTGAAGCAACATGAGCTTCTGGTTCCTTATCACCACTACCCCCATTGTCCCTTATCACCTTTTTCTTGATTTTCAGCTTATTCGGTATCCGGAACCACCAACAAGCCGAATCGAAACCCTTCCCGGATATTTTCCCATGGGCACAGTGGTTCCCCATTTCAGTGAATGTACAAATTTACCCTCCTAATCCCTCTATAAATTGTGTCCTGCTATGCTACCCATCATCAGATGAACTGAATCTTGAAATAAGAATCTAAAAACCCCCAATTTCCTCCCACCAAAAGAGAAAAATTATGCATTCTTGTATACATATATCAACACAAGAGAAATCCAAATTGTGGAACATATACCAACAACATGAAATTGAACTGCAAATGTGAATGTGTATGATAATTGTACACGACAAAGATATGATCTTGCAAGAAATAGTGAAGAAGATGATTTGAGGTGAGGTGGGGGATTGGAAAAGGGATGATTTGCCAACAGGGGAAACCTAGGTTTTGGGATTGTCAAATTCTTTGTTGTAATCTAAGGATCTTTGTGGATCAATCGAATGGACTTGAGATCTTGATTCTTGAATTGGGGAGGGATTGGGGAATTAGGGTTTTGATCTTGATCCAAAATTTTCTTCCGATTTTTCAATCAATTTGTGGGCATGTCGAGATTCTTTTGTTTGCATGCGTTTCTGATGGAGGGAGAGATTAGGGAGGGAGAACGGCAGTTTTTTCCGTTGGAAAGAAAGTATTTATTTATTTATTTATTTACGGAGTACTTTTTAATATACGGAGTACAGTATTTTGCATTATATTGGACAAACCGACAAAGAATTATAGATGTTCTTGTACTCCGTACTATTTAAAAAAATTTAAACAACCATACTACACTTCTACCAAAAAGTGTAGTCCAAAGCTACACTAAAATATAAGAAGTAATTTTTTGAATTTTTTCAATCCATTTTATTGAAAGAATGGTCTACAAATGAAAAAATAAAACTTACATATTTAAAAACTACGTCAAAAGTTCTACAAAACAAGTGGTGACAAGAATATTTTATTCTATCAAATAATCAATGAAAATGCAAAAATAAATAAAAGTTTCCGGGATTTTTAAATACTGGAGTGTTGCTTATATTTTGGGACGGAGGGAGTACATTAACATTTTGATGTTTTACACTGACACAAAATACTGGTGCGTTAACAAGAATTTGCACTAACATTTAGTGTCTGTGTGAACAATCACCATAGTATTACACTGACACAAAATAAAGATGCATACATATGGTGTACAAATTGGAATATAAATTTTGGGGTACACATAGCTTAATCCAAATTCAAATTAATCTTAGTACTCAAAAACGAATTAATTTAGTCCTGGTATTATTATTTTTTTGTTCAATCAGATCTTTTTTTCACTTGTGTCCTATATATTGCCCAAAATTTTATCGATGAGGTCAAATGTTACTATTAACATGAAATATTATGTAACAAAATAAAGCATACTTTCAAGTTAATTTTAATCACTACGAGTATATAATAAATACATTTATCAATATATTTTTTCATAAAATAAATAAATAAATGTATATTGTTCTTAGTAATAATTTTATATACATAAATATGAAGTAACTTGTCAAAGCAACAATTTTATGTCATCTATAGTAATATTAGACATCATTGCTGATAATTTAAGACGATAAATAATATAAAAGTGAAGAGGACTTGATTAACCAAAAGAGAATAGTACATGTACTAAGGGCCTGTTCTTTAGGACTAGAAAAAAAAGAGCTGGAAATTGGAAGAAACTGGAAAAAACTGGAAGAAACTGGAAGGAACTGAAAAAAACTGGAAGAAACTGGAAGGAAGTGGAGAAACTGGAAAAAACTAGAAAAACAGGAAAAAACTAAAAGAAACTGAAAAAACTAGAATAAATTATAAAATCAAAAAAAAATTAAAAAATTTTTATGTGTGGTTTTAAATTATTCTCATTCTGATTCTTATTGATATAAATTATTATTATTGTTATAATTATTATTGTTGTTGTTGTAAATGGTGGTGGTGGTGGTAGTGGTGGTGTTATTACGTTATCTAAATGATTGTTTTTAAAATAAAAAAAATATTACGAATATTATTTTCATACATAAAAAGATAATTTAAAAAAATAATTAGAGATGAACTAGCACTTAATATTCTACAATGTAGTTAAACTTAATTGAAGGTACTATATTTTAGATTAAAATATTGATGTTTACCTTATATAAATTTAGAATAAAAAATATTCTACTCCCTCCGTCCCAAATTATTTGCCACATTTGTATTCCCGAGGCAAAATATTAAATTTTTTCAATTCATTTTATTTACATATTGGTATAGAAAATAAAAAACAAAATTTACATATTAAAAAACTACATGAAAAGTTCTTCGAAATAAGAGGTGTCAAGAATATTTTATTTTATCAAATAATCAATGAAAACATCGAAATAAACAAAACTTCCCGCGACTGTTGAAAAAGCAAATGTTGTGAATATTTAGGAACGAAGGGTGTATATAACTATTTAACCATAATTTTTTAAATAGTTTCCTATTTTTTCTTGTAAATTAATATACAAAAAATGGTATTATTCATATTAAAAAGTTGAAGAAAAAAATAATGAATATGAATCATAAAAATAGTGAGATGACAAAATGAAATAATTTATAAACTATAGTTATCAACATAAAAATTGTAATTAAAAAACTGTAAGAATAATAATAATAATATATTTTTTTTTAGAGTGATTTGTCAGAAAGTAGAAAGAATTTGAAGAAAATAAATATAGTTGGAAGAAATTAGAAGAAACTGGAAAAAACAAGAAAAACTGGAAGAAATTAGAAGAAATTGGAAGAAACTAGAAGCAACTGGAAGAAAGTGGAAAAAACTGGAAGAAACTGGAAAAAACCAGAAGAAACTGGAAGAACTGGAAGAAACTGAAAGGAACTGAAAGAAACTGGAAAAAAACTGGAAGTTAAGAGTTCAAGTCCAAAAGAACAGGCCTAAATTACTTCGATTTTGAGTACAAAGACTAAATTGAGTATTTTTATGTGGTACAGGGACATCTAGACCTCTAGACAGTAGACACTTTGTTCACATTAAACTCTTTCGTTCCAAAATAAATTTTTAATTTTTTCTGTTTATCATAAAATAAATTTTGCAATCCTTTTAAAATAATGTGACATGGTTCGGTTTTTGTGAAAATTAAAATGAAAATTTTTAATTAAAAACGGAAAGAGTTTAGCTGCCTCTACAATATTTAATATATACAAAGCATATTCAGTACCTTCACATTTACAAATTACGAGGTACTCCATTTGTCCCAAATTAAGTTGCATGTTTACTATTTACAGAGTCAAATTTATGCATCTTCTTTCTTTATTTTCGTTACTCATTTGGTAAAATAATATAGTGATGTCACATTTGATTCTATTAAACTTTTGGTGTAGTTTTTAGTTATGTAAATTTTATTTTTTAATTACGATCTAAATCCCTAATTATTTACATAAAAAAACTTCAATCAAATATTATAAATTAAAACGGACAATTTAAATTGAGACGGATGGAGTACATAATACTCCGTATGAATTAGTCATTTTAAACATTTATTTTTCACAAATTTGAAGTAAACATTTATTTTTCACAAATTTGAAGTATGTATAAAATTTGCAGTGAATAAGACTGAAACATAAGTCATTTCCCAATGTAGATCTTAAACTTTTTTATTCTCTAAATAGGACTTAATAATGACTAATGAGAAAAATAATGTCCAAGTGATGTTGGACATTTAGTTAAATAATGACTAATAAATAATAACCAATGGTCTTACACTCCTACATTGAGAAATAAAAACATATAATCCTATATTGAGAAAGTCATTATGTTTTAATCCTATTTAGGTAAATTACCCATCATAACAAAAAAATTTGAAAATGAGATCACGAGTACTTTTTTTTCACACATAGTTTAGTACTTTTTCTGTTTCTTTTTTTGCACAAAAAGCAATATGAAGTGAATAATATCCCAAATACCCCTAATTTTTGGTGTCCTTCCCTACCCCCATTGCCTCCTAGACCCCCAGTCCGGAAGGGACGATTTTTACATTAACTCATTGCCCTATTTCAAGCTTCAAGAAATCTCAGCAAATTGGTAATGATATTAATTAAACACCCCCAAAACTAATTCGTAACGATATTGTTTAAATAATATCATTACCAATTAGTTTTGGATGAGCTAATATCATAATTCTATTTAGTATTGGATTCAAGTCTTGAATGCTAAAAAAGGAGTATTAAGCAACACTCTACTCAATACTCATGGTCATGAGATATACAGTAACATTTGGCTATTATTCACCTGTCACCACCAGCCAATAAAACATTAAAACCCAGAAATAAGTCTTCAATCCCAGAAAGAAACTAACTTCAAACATCTTTAGTCAACCCAGAAAAATCAATGTCTCCATTAGAAGTACTCACTTCGGCAGAAGGTTTCCTGGAGGGGTTGCCTTCCTCCACTGGTACACCTCGACGGCGCCATGCTGGGAATGATCTAGTATTGTTATTGCCATCATAAGTGCGGGGGATTCCAAACGAACCAAAGACACCGTTCATCGTCTGCTCGGCCGCATCAAAGAAACGGTCAAGTCCGCTGAAGAAGTTGCGCTCCATGGCTTCAATGTCGCCGCGCAGCCCAGGAAGAAATGGCCCTGCCCGGGACGACTCCATAGGGTGGCCCAGGGACCCTTTAGTCATTTGGCCTGTCATGTCTTCCTCTGTGTATTCTTTGTTTGTTTGCACCAGCTCAGAAGGCCTGTTTGAGAAACCAAAAACAAAACAATAACGCTATGGTAAGATGACTAATGGTTACTCTGCTAGAGTACAAAACCTAACCTTTCCTGGATCTACAATCACAGACTTAAGATTTCGCTTGAATTCGTTTCTTAACATGGTATCAAAACCTTGCTAACCTGAATTAGATATAATGAGTTCGAACATCAACGTCACCCATTGTTAAAAAAAATTAATGTTCACCAAAAACAAATGAAGAACGCTACATGCCTACATGTACAACATGTGAGAGCATATAGTTGCAAAAGAACATTAAGGGCTAATGAAGAATGCTACATGCCTACATGTACAACATAGTTACACCACACCAAACAAACAATATTTCTCTATGTGGTTCAAAATTTGGAAGCCGGGAAAGTATGCTGTACAAGTAGCTGCCACATACGGGAGATACACCCGATGTGGTTGCTCCTTGGGGTCCCTAGAAGCTGGTCTTCCCACCTAATGCAATGCGGAGTAACCATGATTTACCGCCTCCACCACTGCATTGGAGCTAGAGTGTGGGTGTCTCGATGAGGGATTCCGCTTTTCATGAACAACAAAAATAAACTACGTCGAACTGAAGCAAGCAAAGGTGTTTAACTCTCTATCAGAGAGAAGCATGGGCAAAAAAAGTTTAGTCTTTCTTCTCAATGTTGCAACTTGTTCAAATAGACTTGGGCTTCTTTATTGAGCTCCAAAACCTGGGTTCTAATACCACATAGAATGATGATATTCCAACCCAAAACCAATTGGCTATGGGAGAAATAACTCATATTATTATAAACGTAGTACTCCGTATTAGTTTTTTTAGACTGGGTGTTCAACTTGGGACTTTAAATCCTCAACAATTCCAATCAAGCATCTTCGAATCTGTGCCTAACGGGGACGAATTGTGTTTCTTATCATTTCATTGTTTCAATGATCTCATTGCACCTGATCTACATATACGAAGATCCTTTAACATTCATCGAATTTCTTCGAGATTCAGGAACTCAGAACAAACAAATTGGCCAATACAAATCGCAATCGGATCTTCGACAATTCAAATTTCAAACAAATAAGGTGCAAATCAGACAAAATAGGGAAAATTTCATCCAGTATTTTCTCAGAGGGACTCACCTTCCGGCGCAATCCCTGAATATCTGCTCGGTCTTCTCGCACTTGCGGATGAACTTGCCAGGCTCGGACTCCTCGGTTCGGCACTGCGTCATCACGACTTTTCGGGTGGAGAAATTGCCGCCGTCCGCGGCGGGGGACCTGCTAGGGTTGCCGGAACCGATGTTGATGTCGACGCCGGAACCGGAGCTGCGGGAACCGTCGTCATCGTCTTGCCAAACCCAACCCATCTCTCTTGAATGCTTGGCCAATGAATCAGGTACTGGATATATTTATATATTCCGGATTTCTCAGGAGCCTTGGAGAACAATCTAAATAGGGAATAACATTAAATTAAAACATTAAATTTATGCTAAAATTAAAATAAAGTCTTGCATTAAATTTTTTTGGCAGAGTATATTGAATATAAAAAATATTAAAAATCTTATTTTAATATACAAAACATGTTATAGTTTTAATTACGCAAAAAAGAAAGTAAATTCTTTTTATTTGGAGACATAAAAAACTGAGAAAATGGTAGATGTAGATTGGTAGGTGTATTTTTTTCTTGCGGTTTATTTTAAGCTATTTTTATAATTTGGATATTTGATTAACTGATTTAAGTTTTTTTTATTTATTACAGAGTCTTTATTTTAAATGTTCTAATTTCCATAGCAAAAGCAAGTATTTATAAGCAATAGCATATTTTAATTTAGAATCTGTTTTTATTTTTTTTAAGTACATTTATTTGTATTAAAATTTTGAATGATAAAATTTAAGTCTAACTTTTTTTATGCAAAATAAAAAGCATTATCCCCATATATAGAAAATGTTTTAGTTCAGTTTATTTATTTTTTTTAAAATATATTTTGTTCATTTTGATTCAAGGAATTTAAAATGAAAAAAAATGAGGTGAAAAATAATTTTTTTTGTTTGGTTAGAGTGTAAATGAAAAGAAAAGTAAAAGAAAAAAATGAGATGATAAAATGTACTAAGAGCAACTCCAATGGGTCTTGTATATTGTAAGAAATACATTATATACAAGACTCTAAAGCAAAACTGTCACTGCAATGGGTAGGGCAAAATTAACACTATATTGTAAAAAACAAGTCTCACCTTGTATTAATACACTACATGTTATTCTCATCTTGTAAATTCATTTTTTCTATATATTTATTAAAATATATTTATATTTCTTGTTTCTTATAAAAATACTCAATATATGTATAGTTTGAAATGCATGTACCATAAAAATTTTAAAAATATAAATATTATTACAAATAAATATTTTAAAAATAATAATATATATAAAAAGTGTATTATTTAAGAGAAATGATTGGAGGAACTATGAAAAGATGGATTGCTAAAACACATTTGGTAGTGTAAAATACAATATACACTATCAAAATTTACAATATCCATTGGAGATGTTCTAAGAGGGCAAAAAACAAAATTCTTTTCATTTTGGTGGAGAAAATGACAGAAATATTTTTTTTTCAAATTTCTTTTTTTTTGAGTACTTTTTTTTTCAAATTTCTTGAACCAAAGATATTCTCAAATTAAAACTTTGTTTGATTCTCCTATTAATCTAAACGTTAGCTCTTATTATTTCTAAAAAAACGTTATGTCACCTTTTCAAAATTAATCTTTGGGAATTGTTTACCTCACAAATCTGATTATATGAACACAAGAAGCTGTGATGGCAAGAATCGATTGTTAGCTTTAGCGGCACATTTATACCATTAATTTTCACTTCCAGTGCAAAAAAAGAATGAATTTTTCCCGGTTCTTGTCTAACCTCGCGCCATCCACCACCACTTCCAGGAACAATCTGCTCAAACTTCATCAAAGGTTTCAACTTTCCACCTCCTCCATTAAAGGCAAGAAACCCAGAGAGAGTGAATCCCAAAATCTCACCCCACTCCTCTATGAAATCCGTGACATTTTGTATTCAGAGAATAAGACTAGTGTTCAAGAAGAATCTGGGTCTTCTTTACAAGGAAGAACCCAGCCTCAGGATGATGGTGACACTGCAGGGAAAACACCTTGCACACTAGATGTTTGTGAAAATGCCACTGAAAAGGGAGGATTGCTCTCTTCCAACGACAATCAAATGGGGGCCTCGGGTGATTATGATGTTAGCCCGATTGTTCATAAAATTACTGGAATTGTTAGGGATGAAAATGATGCTGTGTCAATGGAAGAGCGGTTGCAGAATGCAAGTTTTGAGTATAGTGGTGAGATTGTTGAGATGGTGTTGAAGAGGTGCTTCAAGGTTCCTCATTTAGCTTTCAGGTTCTTCAATTGGGTGAAATCAGTGGAAGGGTTCCGCCACAACACGCGGACATATAATGTGATGATTTATATGGCTGCAGAGGCTAAGGATTTCCGTCTGGTTGATGCACTGTTGGAGGAAATGGGGAAGAATTCGTGCGAGAAAAATATAAAGACGTGGAGCATTGTCATCTCCCATTGTGGGGACGCAAAGTTGATTGGAAAAGCCCTGTTAGTCTTTGAAAGGATGAAGAAACATGGCCCCAAACCAGATCTATTGGCTTATAAACTCATGTTGAATGCCCTTTGCAATGCTGGAAAGGCAGACATTGCATTCGAATTCTACAAGGAAATGAGCAATGATGGCATGCTACTGGATGATCGTTTGTTCAAGAAGTTACTACAATGCTTGGCTGCATCTGGAGATGCCATTCAAGCACATAAGATTGGTGAGGATATGATCAGAACATTAGAAGTCTCAGAACATGAAGTCTATGGTTTGATGCTCAAGAGCCTATGTGTTACAGGTAGGATAAGAGAGGCTTTAGAATTGATTCGTGAAATGATGAATAAGAATGTAAACCTTGAGTTTGAAGATTTTGAGACATTGGTGAAAGGACTGTGCAAGGCTGGAAGAATTAATGATGCATTAGAGGTTGTTGATATTTCCAAGAAAAGAAATGCAGGAAATAATAATCTTTATGATATTATAGTCCATGCATACTTGATGATAAATGAATTTCCAAAAGCACTGGATCTAATGCAAAGGATCAAAGATTTGGGGCAAGTACCCTCAGTGGCTACCTATACTACTTTGATAACACACTTTTTCAGGATAAATGAGTTCCAGAAAGCAGTGGGACTCTATCATGAGATGATTGAAATAGGAGTTCATTTAGATTGTGCAGCGATGACTGCTGTTATTACAGGCTACCTGCGCCAAAATTGCATATCTGATGCATTTGGAGCTTTCAGGATCATGAAGGATAGAGGAATAAAACCCAGTAAGAAATTTTACAGAATTTTCTTCAAGGAGCTCATCAAAGTTTCTAGTACAAATGATATTCTAAAAATGTTTAAGGAAATGGAAGAAGCCTCTGAACTTGAACCTGGAGATGAATTCATTCAACAGGTCACGTCTTATTTGAAGAGGAAAGGAGAGGTGGATAAGCTTAATGAGATAAAGCAGATTCAGGGGAACCGGAATTGTAAAGCCCATCCCGTAGGGAATGTTGAAAAGAATAAAGCAAAACAAGATCAGATTCCTTCGGATCATCAACATGATGTTTGCCAAATCAGTCAAATTTTGTCATCTTCCATGGATTGGTGGTCTATAAAAGAACAATTGGAGAAATGCGGTATACAGTTCACACCAGAAGTTGTTATTGAAGTTCTGCATAACTCTAGACTCCATGCTGGCATGGCATTACAGTTTTTCTCATGGGTAGGGAACCACACTGGTTATAGACACACAACAGAATCCTACAACATGGCCATTAAGATTGCAGGACAGGCCAAGGACTTCAAACAGATGAGAAGCCTATTTTATGAAATGAGGAGAAAAGGGTGCTTGATAACAAGTGACACTTGGACTATCATGATAATGCAATATGGACGAACAGGCCTCACCCACATTGCTCTCCGAACTTTTTGGGAAATGAAAGAAAGAGGGAACAGCCCTAATGAAAGTACATTTAAGTTTTTGATCAAATGCCTTTGTGGAAAGAAGGGTAGGAACGTTGACGAAGCAGCAAAGTTATTCCATGCGATGATCAAAAGGGGTTGCAGACCTGATAAAGAGCTAGCTGAAGCCTACCTAAGCTGTCTGTGTGAAGTTGGAAAGTTATCCGATGCCAGAAGCTGTATTGAATCTCTACAAAAAACCGGTTTCACCGTTCCCTTAAGTTATTCTTTGTGTGTTCGGTCTCTTTGCCAAGTAGGGAGGTTGGAAGAGGCCATTCAATTGATTAATGAAGTTGATGGTGATGATGAACAGCTTACCCTGGCTAAGTACACATATGGAAGTGTAATCCATGGACTACTGCAAAGGGGAGATTTAAAAGCAGCATTGGCAAAAATAGAATCTATGAAACAGATTGGGGTCCCACCCTCTATACATACATATACATCTTTGATAGTACACTACTTCAAGGAGAAACAAATAGAAAAGGTTTTGGGATGTCTTGAGGAGATGAAAGAGTCTGGTTGTGAACCGACACTCGTCACTTACTCTGCACTCTTTCACGGCTATGTAAACATGGGGAAGTTTGCTGATGCACGGAGAGTTTTTCATCATATTAGACAGAACGGTCCGTTTCCTGATTTTAAAACATATTCAATCTTCATATCTTGTCTCTGTAGGGTAGGTCAGTCTGAAGAAGCCCTCCAACTTATTTCTGAAATGATGAATGCTGGGATTGTTCCCAGTGCAGTTAATTTTAGAACAGTTTTTCATGGTCTCAACAGGGAAGGGAAACATAACTTGGCTAAAAGTGTGTTGATAAAGAAGTCAGATCTTAAAAGGATGAGAACAGTTTCATCATAATTTTAACTACAGTCAATGCTGTTGAAATATGTGCTTTGTTTCTTGTATATGCTTCCATGAATGTGTTTGGTTCTTCTTCTCTTGACACTGGTAGGGGCTAAACAAATCATACCAGCTTAGGAGTCTTCATAATAGGAATATTACTATTAGTATTGAATTTCATATTATTAGAAGTACATATTCTAATTTAGGACTCTTTACTTGCAAAGACTTTGCTGAGTAGTATTAATAGAGGGTCCAACTTCAATAATACATGTATCATACAATTCCAAGCTTAAAAGTTAACATAAGCTTTTGACAAAGTTATTTCTCTATGGTTAATGTCAAAGACAAGACTTCCATCCTAGAGTACTCTGAAGTGTCTCCTTGAAAGAAACAAATCTGATATATATAGAAATCAGACCTTTTGATTGTTAAGTTGAAATGTACAACAACAAGAACAGACCCCGTAAAATCCCAAAAAAATAGGGTCTGGGGAGGCTGACTCCTACTAGGAATTGTTAAGTTGAAATGTGCTGCCTAGAAAGTAAAGTACAACAGCAGTATCTATGCTTGCTGGTTTTCCTTTTACCAAATGTGCCTTCTTTGATAATGGAATTTAGATCAGTGGCTTTCGGGTTATTGTCCCTAAATAAGATGTCCTCTAAAATCGTCCCTGCTACTTCTTGATCTCCAATGGAATGTGAATCAGATGTACAAGGATCTGGTGATATTGGTGCCTTGCTATTATGGCTTGTTTCCTTTGTACACAAACTGGAAATGGTATCCCTACAAAAGAATAATCACACCAATATTAAGGGTCTATTTCAAACTCGGGCAATACTAGGAAATAAAATTGGGAAAAAAAAGTCCTAGAGGAAAATTGAAAAGGAAATTGAAGGAGGCGAATACAGGATTTGGGTACAAGAGCATGCCCACTAAACTCCCACAAGAAGTAGGGCCCAGGGAAGTGTGTGTCAAAAAACCAACTCAATCAAAAGCTCAAGCTTGTAGCTTGTGGTTGTAGGCCCAGGAAAGATTTTTATATCCTAACATGTCCCGAACATGAAGGCGTGGTGGCCGCTTCGAGCCTTCTATGTGAAACCTTAATTTTTTTGAATGGATGGTGGTAGAGCTGACAAATCATGTTGACTTCGGGTTCAGTCACTTCGGGTTACATCAAGTTCAGCTTCGGGTTTAGAATTGCATGTTAATGACCCAATGTTATCGGGTTTGGGTCAACCAAACGGTTTTGAGCTTTATTTTTAAAATATTTAAATTGTACTAGCACTTGCATTTTGCACTGAAAAATACGTAGTAATGAAATACTTCCTCCGTCCCCAATTTGATTTCAATTTTTTTCTTCTCTCTTCTCTCGATAACTTTTGTTTGTTTACGCGATTTCATTAAGTATTTAATCAAATAAAATATTCTTGTCACCTCATGTTTTGTAGAACTTTTGACGTAGTTTTTTAATATGCATTTTTTATTTCTTATCAATATACCGATTTGTAAATAAAATAATTTCAAAAAGTGAGATATTTCTCCTCGTAAACCCCAATTTGTAATCAAATTGGGGACGTAGGGAGTATCGAAAATACATACTCCGTCCCAAATTCATTTATACTATTCGAACAACGTGCAAAATTTCATTTTTAAAAAATAATTTTATCTATAAATTGGGATAGAAATAAAAAGTACAAATTACATATTTAAAAACTCAAAAGTTCTACAAAACAAGATACGACAAGAATATTTTATTTTATCAAATGACCAATGGAAACACGCGAGTAAACAAGTCATCGGGAGGCTCAAATAGTAAAAGTGTAAATCATTTTGGGACGGAGAGAGTATAATAAAGGTATCGAAATATTTTATTATGATTTTTTAATTATCTTTTAGATATATTTAACAATAGTATGAATAATATAAGAAAATTAAATATGTACCAATTTTGAAAACAATGTAAGATAAGAGTATGTGGTATCATTACAAACTTGATTGAAACTCTATGTTTATGGCTTTATGCACTTAAATGGGTAACATTACAAACTTGATTGAAAATCTATGTTTATGCATTATAATGGGTAATATGAAAAACAATAAAATATAACCTTAGTTTTATCACATTATTTGGGTTCGGTCGGGTTTGACCAAATTTTGGGTTTCGGTTAATAAAATCTTTGTTCAAAATCCAATATTTTCGGGTCGGGTTTTTGGTCAAAACAGGTTCGAACTCATGACCACTTGGTCAACAAGGTTTTGATACCATATCAAGAAACCAACTCAACCAAAAGCACATGTGCACAAGCCATGAACTAAGGTAAAAACACCAGCAAACACCAAAGATTAATGCAAGCAGAGTAGCGAACACTATTAATTACCTGGAAATATGATTGTTGGAGCTAATCATATGTTCATGTGAGGCAGTTATCGCTGTCAATTCCTTGCTGGTTATTTCTGCAGTAGTTCCAATGTCATTCTTCTCCAAAGTCTGGAGAACACTTCCTAACGATTTTGAGTCTTCTGTTTCATCCTTCATCGGTGAGCTTTCTATGCTTGTGGTTCTGCTTGCAGGACTCGTAGCAAATGAATTGCGAATGAAAGAAATGGCCATTTCCAGTTTTGCCAAAGCTCGCTGAACCTCAGGGCTGACACCAATACCGTTCTCAGAAATGGGACCTTCCTGTCTGATCTGATTCTTTAATGGAGAATCGTGTTTCTGACTGTCCATATTAACAGTCCCAGCTTCTTCATTGTCTTCCCCAACAATTTCCTCAATCTCACCACTAATCTTTTCGCCCCTAGTCACAGAATTCTCTGATGCAGAATGAACCGCACGATGCTGAGCCTTCTCTGGGAATTCATGTTCATTTGTAACATTTGTTTGCTTATAGTTGTTTTTATGCCCGTTAGATTTATTATGTGAATATAGAGCCTCACGTATACGGTTGTACATTGGATCCTTCAAAGCATTGCTAAAATCTTTATCACCTCTGGAAACAGAAGCCACTTCCTGCATACGTAATCCCAAACGTTTAGGTTCCTATTTGGGATTGCATTTGATGTTTGAAAAGCTCCTTTGTGTCCTAAGGCAACTCTAGACATGTAGTTACTTCCTCCACTCTTAATTAACTGTCTCATTGGTTTGGATTTTTTTTCGTACTTTGA